TTCCTCACTCTCTCTCTCTCTTCTTCCTATCTGTTTCACTCCACATCCCTTCCTCAATCTTGTTGCTTTCCCTGTATCTCTCGTCCCAGCCTTGCTTTACAGATCCATCTCTCTGTGGCACTGTCGCTCTGCAAAGCTTTTTTTCGCTACTCTGTGTCTTGCTATCTCAGAGAGGCAGAGGCACCCCTGCTTTTCCAACCCGTGTTTTTATCCTTCCTTCTCCCTCCCTTTGGCTTTCTTTCCTTGTTTCCTTCACTCTGCACCCCCCTTTTTCTGTCTTTGTCTCTCTCGGGAGCGTTGTTATCAAAAGCGATAGTTCTCTTGCTGAAAATAATAAGCAGCTTCTTTTGAAGTCTGCAATGGCTGTTTGACGTCTCTGTGGTGTTTCATGCAGATATTGCCTCCATTTGTGACGGGGATAAACAAAAGATTAAACTTATTTTAAGGTCTGTGTGTGTGTGTGTGTGTGTGTGTGTGTGTGTGTGTGTGTGTGTGTGTGTGTGTGTGTGTGTGTGTGTGCGTGTGCATGGTAAGTCCCTCAGGGTGCACACTGGCCTCCTGTCACCTTGCCAATCATATCAGTTAGGTGTGTTCTGATAACCTTATCTCTGCCTGAGCTCTGCATAGCCATAGGGCTGTCCTTCAACACACACACACACACACACACACACACACACACACACACACACACACACACACACACACACACACACACACACACATACTTTTGCACATAGCAAATGAAAGAGGCTAGAGAGCAGATAGCGATCGATGCTGCTAAATCAAGGACATGCACTATGCTGCTTCTCTCTGTCTCTCTGTGGCTCTTATCTATAATGGAAAAGCCATACATTTACAGCTCCCTTTCCACCTTATGGTCACGCTCAATCACAACATAAAATACTGCTGCAAAGTGTTCCTGTCAGTAAAAGAGCATATTAAAGGTTTTGGTGTTCAACTTGCAGAGCATTGTCCTGTTTCACAATGGGTGGACTAAGAGTTGGGGTAAAAGAGTGAGAGAAAAACAGTGCTGTATTAAGGTGTGAGATGTTTTGCTACCCAACTATTTCAGAGTAATTATAGAGCAGTATTAAATAATTATCTCTTATTATGTGAAGAACAGATCTGTTAAACATGCCCAGTTTTCTCTCACAACACATTATTTTCCTCTTGCTATATCTAAGAGCTGCAATGGGGTTGGGATCCTGCAGGTCCTGCTAGACGAATAAAACATAGAACTAGTATGACTATGTTTTTATAATAATATGAGAAGCAGTTATTATTTGATTATTGGGCATAGTCATAAAGTGTTCTGTTTGTGTTTTGGTCTGTTCCAACTTCCCTCATTTTCTTCCAATTGAAATGCCCAATTCCCTTTTGTACTGCAATCCTTACCGTTAATGGCTCAAATATTGACCACAGTTATGTCAGAACCCATTTTACAGCAGCAGGCTAATGGAGAAATGGGAAGGTCATTGATAAAAACAAGATTATAGTCAAACCACAATCTCACTATACGTGGAAACAAGCTTCTGTACAAGCTGTTCAGGCAGCATTAGACCATATGGACAAATATGCACAATTTCTCGGGATGCAGTGATTAATTGGCCAAACTTTATTATTGGTATCAAAATGTATGTATTTTGTTTACTCATTGAGTGTACAGCTATATATTCAGTGTTATTGGCTACACAATAATGACAATAAATATGAATCCCCTAAAGTAAAGGGTTAGTGTAATATTTTAAAAAGGTTGCTTAATTTGTTTAAATGGTTGAATTGGTGCAAAGGTGTTGTGATGATATTCTCAGACTTATAAACATTAAGGTATTTTTTGAATATTTTGTTTTCCCTGGCACAAAAGAGGGATTCAATAAAAAAAACGACAACATAAACACCACAATGTTAACGGGAACATTATTATTTAAATCTGTATGCCCAGAATTTCTGAAAAGCCCTTATGCTATCCTATTTTTTTCAGTGACACCATTTATTTACTCAGCAGTTGGTGCAATTGTATTGTAATTGTTGAGGAGCTGTTAAGTCCTGAGATAAACGGCCTGAATTGATGTTTTTTATTTTCATATTTTATTTCATTTCCAGGGCTTCCATAAGGATTGTGGTATCATGAATATATTCCCTGGTGAGGCAGGTGATTATTTCTTTGGGCAATTATCTTTTTCTAACTGCTCCACTGCTTGAAGAGGTTTTAATATAATCAGTTTGGCATATGTTATTGCTTGAATACATTTTAACTGAAGTACTTTGGCCACTGGCAGCAATCATTACTGCAAATGTCCCTCCCACTGTTTCACCTACACGGCTTGGCTGCTGTCCTTTTAACTCCTCACTCTGCCTGCAGTGCAGTCCCGGGAGCCTGGACCACCACGCTGTTAGGGAGTGGGCCGACTAATATCCTTATTAATTACAGACAGTTAGTCCCACCAGAGAACTGGAGGAGACGTCGAGTTTTCTAAACCTCTCGCTGAAACAATGTAATTTCAAATTGTTTAAATGTGTCCTATCATGCAAAATGCACCTTTTGATGTCTTTTATACATACAGTGGGGCAAAAAAGTATTTAGTCAGCCACCAATTGTGCAAGTTCTCCCACTTAAAAAGATGAGAGGCCTGTCATCCTAGGTATACCTCAACTATGAGAGACAAAATGAGGAAAAAAAATCCAGAAAATCACATTGTCTGATTTTATTTCAATTGATTTTAAGAATTTATTTGCAAGTTATGGTGGAAAATAAGTATTTGGTCACCTACAAACAAACAAGATTTCTGGCTCTCACAGACCTGTAACTTCTTCTTTAAGAGCCTCCTCTGTCATCCACTTGTTAACTGTATTAATGGCACCTGTTTGAACTTTTTATCAGTATAAAAGACACCTGTCCACAACCTCAAACAGTCACACTCCAAACTCCACTATGGCCAAGACCAAAGAGCTGTCAAAGGACACCAGAAACAAAATTGTAGACCTGCACCAGGCTGGGAAGACTGAATCTACAATAGGTAAGCAGCTTGGTGTGAAGAAATCAACTGTGGGTGCAATTATTAGAAAATGGAAGACATACAAGACCACTGATAATCTCCCTCGATCTGGGGCTCCACGCAAGATCTCACACGCAAGATCTCACCCCGTGGGGTCAAAATGATCACAAGAACGGTGAGCAAAAATCCCAGAACCACACGGGGGGACCTAGTCAATGACCTGCAGAGAGCTGGGACCAAAGTAACAAAGGCTACCATCAGTAACACACTACGCCGCCAGGGACTCAAATCCTGCAGTTCCAGACGTGTCCCCCTGCTTAAGCCAGTACATGTCCAGGCCCATCTGAAGTTTGCTAGNTAGTGAGTCTTCTGGCCAATCAGAATCAAGATTGTTGCCGGAAGTCCCCACGGAGAATAACTTTGCGGTAGAACTATTCTTTATACATCCATGGGTACAACTTCAGATACAAATGAACACATAATGAAATATGACCCCCGGTTTGATGATTGACAGGTCACAGAACAATGGGGGCTATCTACCCTTACCCACAATTTAAAGTAATTCACACAGACTCTCTCCTCTTTACTCTTCTCGCAGCAAGATGTCAGAACAAAGTGAAAAACAAACAATAGCATAAAATAATTATTAATATGTCGGTAGTAATAGATTTATTTATTTTCTTCTCAGAGTGTACCAGAATGCGTAGTATTTCTAAAAATCTCTTAAAAGCATACTTTAGTTCTGTGAAGGGATATATGCACTGTACTTCACTTTAATTCATATTATATGCTGAAAAGCGTATATTACAGCACGATTTTTTGTTGAATAGATTTGAGTGCTTCAAAATGTTGGGTCGCGATTTATTGACCAAGTAAAAAGTGGGTCCCGAGGCCTGACCAGTTGAGAACCACTGTAGTAGGTAACATTTATTTGGCACATTTTTCAAGTATTTTTGGCACATTATTTAGTGCTTTTTTTTGTCGCCTTTTCTTTGCCTGATCACGATAGTGATATCTGGATTTTATTTTTCTGGAAAGTCAACCAGAGCTTATTGTTTAATAATTCATCAACATTCTATCTTTTTGGGCTTTAGAAAATTAAAAAAATCAGGATAAACCGCTTCGAACATGTTAAGAGCATAACAATAACTGTGCTACAATTGTAGCTAGAATGACTGTAGTAAACACTGACAATAATAAAATCATTTTTAAAACCAGTGATCTGCCTAGCAATGGTTACGTTTAGCCCCAGGAACACTCCCCCAAAGCAGGCGGTAATGTATCGGTTCCTGCTTGTCCAGCATCTGGATTTGGATTAAAGATTTCATGTCATGGAGGTTTATTTAGCTTCTTATGAGTCACTTGAGATATGCATAAATAGTGTATGGTCCACACCCACCTTTTGAACCTGCTGTTATCAGAATCAGAATACCTTTATTAGTCCCACGGAGGGGACATTTGCGTAGTTACAGCAGGAAAAAGAGCCACAGATAGCTTAATGTTAAATATGTGACATGCATTAAAAAAAAGTACTAAGTTATGATATAATACAAATATATAATAAAAAAAGAAAAAGTTACATAATTACAAAAGAATACACAGATCCTGTAACGGTTCTTAGGATTTAGCAGCCAGGTATATATTACACAGTTATTAACGGCATCTATATATATTGCACATATTGCACATAGGTGGTTGGTATTTAACAGCAGCAAGTTACACAATTTACAAAATACACACCTTGTAACAGTTCTAAGGATTTAGCAGCCAGGTATATATTAAACAGTTATTAACGGCATTTATATATTGCACATATTGCACATAGTTTGTTGGTATTTAGCAGCAAGGGGTGATATAGTCTGTGTGGGGGGTTGTGTGGGGGGGGGGGGTCAACTAGGGGCTGTGCTGGTTGTATAGTCTGACCACTGCAGGAAGGAAAGACCTGCGGTATCTCTCCGTGAGACAGCGGGGGTGCAGCAGCCTATCGCTGAAGGAGCTGCACAGTGAGGACAGGGTACAGGTACATAGAGTGGTGCAGTGATGACGTATTTTTATAGGCCGACCCGAAGTTGGGATCTAAGTGCTCCATCGACAATAAGCAATGTGATTCTTTCATTGGGTTTTGGAATATTCCAGAAGAAAACACACACGTTTATAATACTTACACTGTTTGTGTGTTTGCTCAGGCTGAGATCTACAAGGCAGATTTCCTAGCAGAGCGAGAAGCGAGAGAGAAGCTGAACCAGAAGAAGGAGGAGCTGCAGGATCAGCTGACTCAGGCCCTGACTGAGATTGACAGGCTCAAACAGGAAGCCACATCACGGTAAAAAGAAAGTCTGTGGAAAAAGCACCATGAGCATTATTTGTTTCCTGGATGTGGGCATGCAGTCCTTAATGCACCGCCACACTGTCAAAAGCTCCGTCTTGCTGTGAGCTCCAGCTGGCTATTTTGTTTCTCTGTTTATGTCATTTGTGATCCAGGGTTACATAGTCCTCCATGCTGAATTCCTCTCCTTGCCCTCTAATCACATGCTGCATCAGCATATGGAGGGGACTTTAGCTTTGCTGCTGCAGCATCACAGGCAGGGCTGTTGGCACATCAGCCAAAACAGAGATTTGTAAAGATCTGTTTTTCATTCTATAGAGAAGTTGTTGAGGAATATGTACTGGAGGCTTTCCTGTAAAGCATTGATGGCTTTTCTTTTAATCTGGATAACTTTGTGAATTAGCCTCAAATAACTTTGATAGGTTAGTGTTATATAATGCATAGATTTTGTTTAAGGATTTATCGACAACATTCTGATATATTTACACGGTTAATAGTTATAAAATAATACAAATGATTTTGGCATTTTCAGGGATAGAGCAATTAAGTTCTAGAGATATTAAAATTGTCAATTGTCTGTGTTTGAAACAAATGTTTATTAATCAATTTCCTTCACTTTTTCTCTTTTTTTTTTGCAAATGAGGAAACATCCTTACCAACATGCTTAGTTTACTTAAAGCACTTGATAAACGAAACACTGCAAGTAAAACATGCTACACAAACACAACAGAAGCCAGGAGAGAGATCTCCTAAAGTTTGATTGAACAGGAGAGTTTCTTTGTCCCCTGTTTCAGAGCACGCATCGAGCAGATGAAGCTGAGACACCTGGAAGACTTTCCAACAAGGGCGCCACACATTCCCCCCCCTCAAGGTACACCACACACAAAGTCACACATTCAAAATAACAAGCACATAGATAATACATAGATTACATAGATATAACACCCACACGTTATATTAATATATTATTATAGATTTTTAATATTATAGATTTTATGGTCAATAAGAATTTGAACAAAAGCTCTTTGGTCACCACTGCAAAACAACAGATCAGGACTTACTGCAGATTTGTTCTCATGATACCTACTCCAATATCTCTATGCTGTCAAGCCCCACTCAAATAGTACTTTATGATCCAAAAGCTATACACAATAGACCGCACATGCAATAAATATATATTTTTCCATAAACACGTGAATATTATTAACAGAAAAAACAGTTTGACAGTGAAAAAGTTACTTTATACAAATGATTATCAAGGTTGTAGCATAGTATTTTTTAAGTTAAAATATTAGCCCAGGTGCTTGATTTCAAATGCAGTGAACACTTGAGTATCATTTGTAAGTTTTGCTGCCCCTAAGCAAACACAGAATATTTTGACTAAGCACCGTATATACAGTAGATAAATGTACTGAGTTTAGTTTACTAACTTTTGTGCAGCATTATCAATGTAATTGATGGATTTTAAAGAAGAAGGCTCTTGAGTCGTGGGCTACTGTACTGAATGTTTGTGGTCACTTTATAAAACAAAAGGGAAATGTGTCAGAAGCTGTTTTTAAGATGCTTTCGTTCCCTGTTGCAGCTTTCAACACGGTGCCCCCGGCCCCCTCGTTCCGCCATAAGGGTTTGGCCCCCCTCGGTGATCAAGGAGCCGCTGGTGCTGAGGAGCTGCCTGATTTATGTTGTCCTAAGTGCCAGTACCAGGCTCCAGATATGGACACACTGCAGATACATGTCATGGACTGTATACAGTAACATGAGCGTACAGCCCACATACACCTACAGATTTACATAGAAAGTACATTTAATTTTCTCACGTTTCCTAGTGTCTACTCCTAGCATTGGGCACAACTTGATAAACATCTTTGGTTGTGGCCCCTTGCTCTCTGACACACACTTCAAAACAGACACACAAACCAAAATACTTGCTGTACATCTTACAATTTTAACAATCGAATATGTTGGAAACAAGACCATTGGCAATCAAATGACAGTATGAAGTGAAAGCGGAGAATGACAGCAAATAATGAGCACGGTATTTTCCTAGAAGGTGCTCAATGGATTACAAATTGTGCTGTAGCTTTTAAATTCTGCAACTCGTGCTTTTCGCGTCTTTCTCTTTACTCCTTTTTCTTTTTCCCTCTTCATGCCTTGCCTCTGAGATGGCCCACTGACAAACATGTCCATCAGTATTTGTATATGAATCCTGATATCTTGTCTCTCTTTGCTCTTGTGGGATAGTGGCAATCGAGGAGGTAAATACATACTGTGGAATAAGTGTGTATAGTTTGACTGTATCCTCCAGGTTATACACGTGTACAATAGATAAATGGGGCCTTCAAATGAGAAATCGAAGGACAATGTGAATAACCTAGTGAGCTTTGAATTATATACAATACTCAAATATGTTTTGGTCATAAATGTTGCTGTATACATTACCTCCAAACATGTATTATTATTATGAATTAGAGATGAATTTACTCTAATTGAAAAAAGTAGCCATTCTCTGTGTTCTGTGCCTGTGTACACCTCTGACTGCACCACTGCTTTAACCCCGACTCTGAACGCACACCCCCTCTGTCTGTGCCCTTTATTCAGTCTTATCTATACCTGTAGCACCTTGCTATTTATCTCTCCGCAGGCAAGCACATCAAGGGTCCTTCACAGTTTGTGTGAATATTGTCTGTAATGATGGATCATTTGGTTCAAAGATTATCGTTTCAAACTGTTGAAGATTTAAATAAATGTGTTATTCAGATTGTATTTGTGTGTTTTTTGTCGTGTGTGTACCCTGAGTGGTAAGAAACAATTTCACAAAAAAATACGTTTTCTTTGTATGTTCTTTTAAACTTAATCTAATATGCAAACTACTATAGTTTAGCATACTAGACCTTAGCATTTGAAATGGTTACGTTTTAAAAGTTTCCTGTTCTGGGTCAAGCTGAACAGCGAGACAGATGACCAGGAACTATAACTTCCGCCTTCAGAATAAGAAGTATTTGCTTTTATCCAACGACTGTCCATTCGCTATTGATTAGAATGACCTTTTTTTCTTTTACAATATTACTGCAATACAACTCAAAGACGTTTAGTATGTGTGTGTGTATAGGCTACTACACTGGAGCGAATCCGTACATCTTGCATAGACAGACATGCACAGTGAATGTATAAGGCGGAAGTACAAACCGGAAGTCCTGTTTGAATGATTGAGCTTTACACTTGTCTCTTGTTTCAACCAGCGCTCGCTGGACACACGCTCTATTCATCCTCGCGTCTTTATCTGCCGGTGTACGCGGCAGGCGCTGTGTGTTTGAAGTGGTTTTCAGGCAGGTATGTCAGGCACAACTCCCCCGCCTCCCTCGGCAGAGGCTGTGGGAACTGAGGCATGTTTTTTCCCTGGATACAAGCCTTTCAAACCCGAGGAGCACGGCCTGGAGCGCGGGTTCCGTCTCACAGCCTTCTCGGACCTGAAAGGATGAGGCTGCAAGGTCCCGCAGGAGGCTCTGCTCAAACTCCTGGCGGGACTGGAGAAGGACCGTGCCGATGGGACTGGGAAGGCCGAAGACCAAGCTTCGGATTTCGGCCAACAGATGCCTGGACCCCGACTCGGTAAGTCATATATTCTCAATTAGCAGAGCTAGCTTTCATTTGCTATTGGTGGTGGTTAGCGGCAGTTATCTAGCGTAAATGTTGCTAACAGTGTTAGCTTGTTTTAACTCAAATGGCAGCTCTTTTGACAGATTGACATTTATGGGCCAATAAAAGCGTTCTTAATAGTCCTCGGATATCGAATGTGTCAATTACCTAAGTACAGTTACATGTTATGCCGAGCTTTATTGTAAACAGATACTATAACAGATAGTAAACTAGCTAGCTAAGAGTGTTCACGAAGAGAAGTTCCACGAGTTGTCATGTCACGATACTGTAGAATGATTCAGCAGAAATATTTAATGCGCTAAGAGCAAAGTTCATGCATTTGGTCAAACATTTCTTTTAAGAAGTTTCGCAATGTGTAAACGCTGCCCTCAGTGTACTGCTTTAATGTGTTAGGAACAGTTAGTGGAAAGCATTGAATGCAGTAACACTGAGTGACCACACACACGGACACTCTGTAGCCTACTGTGCATACACTGTAATGCAACTTCGCATAAGTCCTGTTTTAAACATTACATTTAGAAAACTACACGGCCACGCACAAACAATAAAAGTAGAATAACTCAACACAATTCATAACATTAGATTGGATATAGTTAATTGATCCACATTTTGGAAACGTTCTTGTTATAGCAGAATGTAAACAATGCATTGCACTTAAAAGAAAAAACACATAAACACTAAATATATAAACATTAGCAATATAAATATACTGTATGTAGACTACACAATATCAAATGTAGAGAATAAATAAGAATACAATTTAATAGACTAGCCCGCTACTAAAATATAAATGTTGGATATATGCACATTATAAAGTGTTTAAATTCGTTTTTAAATCAACATTTAAATTAAAGGAGGTAGAGTGTGACAACAACATGTAATATTTAGTTTTATTCCACTTGTGGAAATTATTATAAAACAAACCATTAAGCAGTTTTTTTTGCAGCCCATGATGGAAAGGAGCAGGGAGGAGAAAGTCCTATTTGACCCCTTACTTAAAAATCGTTGGTCTGTCAATCACAGCTGCTTACAAGTACTTACAGTAACAGGAAACCAAAAACACAATCTAAAGTCAACACAACAATCTACCATGACAGAAACAGGTTACCGGACATCTTAATACTGTCTAATTCAATGCTTCTTAAGGCCCAGATACACCGGCCCGAAATCGGCAGTAAATGGGAGTCGGGCCGAACATGAGCGTGGGCACGCCCTATTCGGAGTGGTGTGCGCCGCACCGTCGGGTCTTTTCTGCCGACCTGACGCCTTGTCGGGAACACCACCGGAAGTCGGACAAAGGGATAACACTGATTGGCTGTTCAGCTAGCGAATCAGTGCATGAGAAGCGTTAACGGAAGTGAGGGAGGTAAACAAATGATTTAAAATGGAAGATGGAACACACACGGACGGCTATTTCACCTCATCGGTTTATAGAGCTCCTGTTCGTTCATGGTGGGCTTCGCACAGTTCGGAGGAAGGGAGTGTACAGCTACCAACCACAAGTTTGGTTTGGTTTTTATACCTCTTCCACCCTGCAATAGCACCTCCCTGTCGCTTATTGTCACAACGTGTCGACCTAAGACCAGTAAATACATTTTTTATCAAAACACGACAGCTAAAACCACTCAAGGTGACAGGTCAAATGACAAACATAATGAGTCAGGTACATTGTGTTTAATTTTACGCACAAATTACAATGACATACTCAAGGCTTAATATTTTTATGTCAACATGTGGAGAGAAACACACAGAAATAATACTGCATCCTGCCTGATCAGCTGTGATAAAACTTTTTACACAGCTGATCATCTATTTATACCAATCAACACTTTGGGGGATCCCACGCACACACAACACACACACACCACAACAACACTGACACACATCTCGTGACACTACCTAGCAACCTCAATACCACGTTGAGTTCCGTATACGACTGTCCTCGACGGACCTGCGACGTTAGTACAACGCGGCGGTGATAGGCACGACTCACACCGACTGAAACAATGTTGCAGGGTGACAGACCCGATGACGTATTTCAGTCACAGAGCCGCGTCACAGCCGCTTACAGCGACGGAGACAAAAGTAACTTTGTCGAGGAATAATAGGCCAATCGCGTCGATGATCGTGGTACTACGTTGTGTTGCGCGTGTGCATTCGTACACGGGCAAAAGAGAGAGAGCGTGGTGTGTTTTTGAGGGCCAGGAGGGCTACCGGTTCAGCCACGACGGCCACGCACCTCTCCTCACACGACGGCGTCGCCTGCCGTCCTCGCCCCGACAGTCGTAGTCGAACATCTACCATAAAAATTGAGCTACCGAGCTTTAGATGCCCGCCTGGCTCCTGTTTTCAGTGTACGCATTTAGCGCAATTTTATTAATACCGCAATTAAAAAAAAAAAAATTGCGCAATTGAACTTCGATCATTATTATCTTTCAGAAATAAGTTTCACTGTAAAAGTTTAATGAGTGCCTGCCGTGATCCCCCGCAGGCCTGCGCCTGTTGTGAAATTTTCCAGGTCTATGTTGGCCGGTCAGGTGCGACTCTTCAACGGCTGCGGCTACAACGCAGCGGCCTGAGAGACACATAAACGCGAAGCGCGTGACCTTGTGTGCGTTAGGCTCGGCTCGTGCATACTTGCGCATACGCACTCACCGGTTTTGTTTTTTAATTGGAGGAATGGTCGTCCGTCCCAACCAATCACACTATAAGTAGTAATTTTCTCCGTTGTTGGCCTTGTTGGCCTTCTGTCTCTTCTTCTTGTCTGAGGCACTATTTGTTGTGTTGGTTTATCGCGAAAAGAAAGGTCAAAGTGAGGGCAGGTAACTTTTGTAACTTGCTTTCCTCGAGAAT